TGTGTATTATGCTCTGTCTGATTTGTCCAGTAGGACGTTGCTCAAACTGTTTGTGTTGTGTATTTCGCCCTTTAAAAACTTTTCCAAAAATGCGACCCTGCAACTGTTCGTTTCCAGTTTGATTCATATGCAACCTGGCTATTGCGACGAAACAATTATTTTGCTTCTAGAGATTTCAATACTATAAGTTAAATAAAAGTAAAATAATTGTGTGGGATAAACGAAATTAATAATGCCGAAATATTATTGCGACTATTGCGATACATATTTGACTCACGATTCACCATCTGTGCGAAAAACGCATTGTACCGGCCGCAAGCATAGAGACAACGTGAAATTTTACTATCAAAAATGGATGGAAGAACAGGCGCAACATTTGATCGATGCCACCACAGCTGCTTTTAAAGCTGGTAAGATTACTCAAAATCCAGGCGTTTCAATACCACCACCAAATATGGGCCCACCACCACGTCCTGGTCTTATGCCCGGCGGACCAGGCATGCCACCAATGATGATGGGACCTCACGGAGCTATGCCACCTCCGATGATGGGCATGCGGCCACCACCAATTATGGGACCAATGGGTCCAATGATGGGTCCTCCTCCACCATTAGGCGCAATGGGTGTACGGCCACCAATGATGAACGGGCCTCCTCCTATCAAATAACAAAAGCGCAAGGACTAAGAACTAGCCTCTAAAAAAATNATCTTTCTCTTTGACACCATGTCTGAAATCCCACGTGATCTGTCAAATGCATGAAAATCCTAACCTCAAAAAAATCACCCNGATGGGTCCTCCTCCACCATTAGGCGCAATGGGTGTACGGCCACCAATGATGAACGGGCCTCCTCCTATCAAATAACAAAAGCGCAAGGACTAAGAACTAGCCTCTAAAAAAATATTCATTCACATTTCAAACTTTACCTAATATTTCATAAGTAAATAAATAGTTACAACTTCAAAATATGCTTAATTGCCACAAGTGTTTTTATTTGAAGATCAGGAACTTGATAAGAGTAAAAATATTACGAGATTATTATGTATTCCAACTCTTCACCAACCCAGAAAGTAAAAAAAAAAAATACCCTTAATGATTGTATATCTATATATTTTGCCATTTAATTTTTCTAATTATTAAAATGCACATCATTCTTATACTTATGTAGGTATATATGTCAATAAATTTAAAATAAAAATCATTACAATTTTAATAAAAGTACTTATAAGAGCTTGGTTTGAGATAATAAAACAATTTCTGTTTGGTCAAAAATATAGAGAACATAGTGATGCTGCAAACTGACCATACGAAAATGCAAGTCCATAATTTAATAATACATTATGCTATATTACTTATCCTAAAAAATCCGTCCTTTTGCTAGGAGAAGTCGTCACGGTAGGCCGTTGCTGCTGCATTGAGGCTTGAATCACTACTTCAGAGCGTTTGTACTCCCTGTCAATTTCAGATAAGTCTAAGTCAGCCTCAATTTCAAGTACCTAGGACGCATTTTAAGTGTTATTTTTAAATCACGATAAAAAATTAAGTATTCTACTTACTTTAATATTTTTACAGTCTACTCTTTTTCGAATCAACCAATCCTCGTGAAGTTCATGTAACTGCTTTATATACTCATAGGGAACACATGCCTCTTCGGAACGTGACCGTTTACGTATGCGCTCATATGCAATTTCAGGTGTCGTACGCAAATAAACTGAAAATAAATATAAAAATTAATACATATTTCCCTGCTAGCTACTAAGGTGTGAACCTATTAAATCTGCTTGTATGTGGGCGATTTCCTCGACATAGTTATACCATTCTTTCAATATTTCATACATGGCGTCATGAATCAGACCGCTTTTATGTAAATTCTCAACGAAGCAGTACCTTGTAACAATATAATAGGTGTTATAAAATTACTAATATATATTTACCCATTTACTTACTTGGCACTGTACAAAGACCGTTCCAATATTTTAATAGGTTTATTTGTCAGCTTTGTGTGACGCTCCAACATTGTCAGCATTACGTACGATTGAAATGTCATCGCCCAACGCTCTGGATTAACGTACATTAGTTCCTGAAAACAACAAACAAAAAATGAGACTCCGCGAAATCGAAATGTATGTATATTAAAATGTACTTTGTATTTCAACTAACCAATAAATTATGTCCTTTAAAATTACGCCATTTGTCTACCGGCTCAGCAATGGCGCAGACTTTGTCTTCGAATTGCTTAAAATGTTCGATAAACGTTGTCTTTCCACTGCCAATATTTCCCTCTATTAAGACAGTGAATGGTTGAGTGCCAACTCCATATTTTGGTACCGGAGCACTAAGTGGTTCGAAGG